TCATATCATTGTGGGGAAATTCAACTATCAGCGAGTTGAATACCTCTCAAATATATATGAGCTGTTGTAAATATCGAAAACTATCCATTGATGGTTTTGAGAAGGAGAATGCATTTCGTCCCTGAAACCTAAATCCTTATTCTTTAACAGGTTAGTTTCTTTACGGGCTATTGAAGGAGTATTTTAGTCATATATTCCTCACTCTAACTCTTACCTTCGTCACATATTACACATACCGCAATCTCGCAACACTCATTCAACACAGGGTCCATTTGTTTGAACCCTTTGTTTGTATCAGCCAATTAACTCTCGCCACTGCATCAACCCTATTTTTAGAGCCAATCAGAAGGTGACATGCAAATAACACAATCGTTATGAGCAACAAGAACTTCGGGCTCGGTTATTTAGCTCTGCGGTACCACTCAACAAAACTATTGTGGCGGAAGCACTTAGGAATGTTTAACAGGTGCTGCCAAAAGTAGGATGATAGATTTGAGGGAAAGTAAAGTATTAAGAAGGAAACCAATTTTGATCGTAAATTGAAATCATTTGAGGAGAACGAGACTGGCCGAGTTCAAATCCAGGAATCAGCAGATCGTCAGCCTTCGCCTGATGATGCATTCGGAACCATACTTGATGGCCGAGTTGGAGTGACTTCGTTTTCCAACCTGGTTAGTGTGAGTGGGAGACTTTAAATAAGGTGCCTAGTCCTACCTCTGCAATAGTAGTCATGATCGCTTTCAGCATCTGATCACAAGGGGCTTGACCTCACTTTCCTTACTTGGTCGAGCTGTCAAGGTGACCTAGATGAACGCGTCTTGTCCGGCGTTTATTGCCGTTGTATTCATGATGATTCCCAGCATCGGACGACAGTGGACTGGTACCTCTCTCATGATTTGTAGTTTGGTGCTAAGAGTGCCAGGGCGAAATGTCCTGGTATGGGCCATGTCTACTATCCGACTTTGCAAATTGTCATGACTACAATGGCAAAAGACTCCGGACAAGTTGCGTTCATCTAGTTCACCGTGACAACAAGATCGAGTTGGGAAGATGAGGCTAAACCACACTGGCAGGCTTGTGAAATGAGGTCAACCCAACTCTAAACTCTTATTTGGTACATCGTACGCTGGCTCAATTATGTCGATTATCCATTAACTAAATGGTGAACTAAGTAATTAAGATGTTATGATTCTCAGACTGGCCAAGTCGGATCACACCGCGAAGGACGATGTGGAGTGGAATAAACTTGAAAGAGGGGTGATACTGCATCACTAGACCTGCTCACAATAGATAGACTTTATTTATCCTTTTGACGAGCTGTAGCCCCGTGCTATGGCTAACAAGGCTGACTGACGATGTCATATGTGATGCAGACATAACGTCTGGGGATATATTAAGACTCGTTCGACGTTGTCTATTATCATGGCCAGTATGGCAGAGGCCTCGGGATAAGGTGCTTTCATTTACGTTACCCTGACAAGACGAACGACCAAAACGGGGTCCACGCTATTCCACATCAGCTTCAGGGGGTTTATTTTCTTATCTTCAAAATCGTGCAGTATTGCATTTCATCAACAGCGACTGTAAATTCAGAGTCAGTTTGCATCTGTTTCTTTTATTTTTGTTGGAAAGACCTGCATTTCGTATGAAAGGTCATGAAGAAGAGATTTATATGTCGATCTCATCAGAAGACGACGGTTGATTCTCGTCGTACTGCAGCCGACCGGCCTTAATACGACGTTCAGATTGGCGTAGTCTACAAGACGCCCCCCTCACTTCGGATGAAAAATGGTTCATTTTTCATCTATCTTATGGATGGAAACAAGGGGGGATGACTCGTGGACTGTGTCAACCTGAACGTCGTATTAAGGCTAAACGGCGGCAATATAGCAGGAATCAGCCGTCGTCTTCTGGTGAGATCTACCTTCGAATCGCTTCTTCATAAACTTTCATACGAAAGTGCCCCCGACAATATTTACTAATGAAAGTAATCTAAACCCAATTGCTCTTCGTTTCTTTTATTTTTCTTGAATGATACCTATCATGACATCTGCCTTGCATGGCGTGTCTTAATCAATGAATTAGTTCCATTGGATAATACTTCCTGAAAAACATCCAAGTTGATTTGTCGAATTTTAATTTTCATAATTCAATATTGTCAACATCTTACTCGGTAATTATCCTATCTTAAGTCGATAATTAGGTTAAGACTTGAGCCGGGTAATTATTTCTTGTCGAAGAGTCTTCTTGGGTATCCCTCTACCAAGGTTCTCGTTAGAGTGTTAGTAAACCGTCCTCCATTTTTTCCTAATTCTCATTTAGGAGCACCAATTTTTCTTGATGCTGGAGTACATTTCATTCAGTTGAAACCACAACTCTGGTTTTAAATTTCACACGATACGCGTATAACGAGCATGGCATGCACACACCACACGTACAATGGACTGGAATCACATGCAGCAATATTGGAGGATCAAAAGTACCCGTGACTTAGAGGAGGATACATCTGTTCAGTTACACTTGCATCTATGTTGGGATACTTTTCATTTAGTTTGAAGAGGCAAGTGGGAAGGATTCGTACGTTGGTCTCACCGGAAGCTGTAGGGGGATTGCCTTGGAGTCGTGGCTGTAGATTAGTTCGATTATATCAACGGCCCACTTCCCTACGACCCCGTTAAATCTTTTCTGAGTTTTCGTCCCTCATGTGATGGACATTATCAGAGCAGGACACTATGCTTAAGGATAATTCACCAAAAAATTCAAAGAAACGATAAAGGAGGCCGGGAAGATCAAAAGTATGCGTAATTTAGATGATGGAGATGTTCAGTCACAAGTGCATCCGTTTGCTCTGCAGCCACTTCACTTTTCAACAAGCATGTAGGAAAAACATGATATATCAAATAAATATGGTTTGAAGTACCTCTTAGAGATATAATATGACGTGACTTTCCATTTTGAAGGGAAACTTTGTTGGAAGAAATTCGTAATGTGGTCTCACCGAAGTCGGACATCATCAGAGCAAGAATCTATACTTCACAAAATATGGCAAAAATTAGTTTGGTATAATTTTGCTCTAGTTTGTGAAGTATGGATACCTGCTCTGATGATGTCTGTCACAGTACAAACGAAAGATTAGCACAGGTTCATCGGAGTCGCATGACAGTGAACCGAAGAAATCTTCGCACAATTCAACAGTCTTTCCTACGCGGCAATCCTTCTTCGGTTACCGGTAAGACCACATCATTAATTCTTTCCAGTCAATTTTCCCTTCGAAATGGAGAGTCATGTTACAAAAGAGAGAATATCCAACCAATCATGAGATGCCTCATTAAATGGACCATTTTGGTCTATAAGAAATAGGTAGTCTTTAAACCGGCCATCAAACTTTCTTGTTTTCGTGTTTTAGTGAATTATCATAAAGCATGGTGTCCTGCACTGATGATATCCGTCACATGACTGATGAAAATTCAATAAAGAT